TTACATTTTATAGGAGGTGGCAATATTGCACTGCCTTTGAGGGCACCAGACTGACAATAAAATGACTAAAATGATATACATATTCTATAAACACTTGTCAATAAAAACGCTAAATGCCGTTTGATTGTCATTTTAATGCCTCCTGTGCCAGTGCCAAACATTAGAGGCAATAAAGTGGCACTATAAAAATTTGAACGACTATAAAGACATCACAGGAAAAAACGGCAGACACAGGTCCATAGAATGGCAGTAGCTATGTTTATAGGGGTATCCGGGTCAACAGGATGATGTCTCAATGATAAGTAACATCTAGCCTGCCGTTTGACTACTTGTAGACACCTGCCATTTGCCAATAATATGCTTTTCAAAAGGCATTACCATTTTATAGGTGGCCAATATTGCACTGCATTCGAGGGTACCAGACTGACAATAAAATCACTATAAAATGATATACATATATTCTAACACTTGTCAATAAAAGTGCTAAAATGTTCTTTAACCATTTGTCTTGTGAATAAAAAAACTATTTTTGCTGTTTGATTGTCATTTCAACACCTGCTGTGCCAGTGCCAAACATTAGAGGCAATAAAGTGACACTATAAAAATTTGAACGACGGCTATAAAAAGACACCACCGGAAAAAACGGCGGTCACATGTCCATAGAATGCCAGTAGCTATGTTTATAGGGGTATCCGGGTCAACAGAATGATGTCTCAATGATAATTAACATCTAGCCTGCCGTTTGACTACTTGTAGACACCTACTGCCATTTGCCAATAATATGCTTTTCAAAAGGCATTACCATTTTATAGGTGGCCAATATTGCACTGCGTTCGAGGGTACCAGACTGACAATAAAATCACTATAAAATGATACATATATTCTAAAAACACTTGTCAATAAAAACGCTAAAATGCTCTTTCGCCATTTGTCTTGTCAATAAAAAACAACTATTTTTTGCTGTTTGATTGCCATTTCAACGCCTGCTGTGCCAGTGTCAAACATTAGAGGCAATAAAGTTACACTATAAAAATTTGAACGACGGCTATAAAAAGACATCAAAGCAAAAAACGGCAGTCACATGTCCATACCCTATTGAAACTTCCATCAAGGTACGTAATTTGGGACACTGACTGCCAGTCAGCAGCCTTGGTGGAACGTGATGGACCATCAGACGTCATGTGCTGGTCCATCAGATGACGTCTGACCGCCACTGCCAAGGAAATTTCATCAACAAGGGCGGCATTTTTTATAAGAGTAAAGCTATACGCACTCATAAATATCGCGAAATGCCTCGATAAAACAAAATGTTCGAGAAAAAAAAAGAAAAAAAAAGCAGGACCACCGCGGATCGAACCCGCGACCACTTGCGTACAAATCGGACACCGTAACCGCTATGCTACGCCGTTTCTTAGAGAACTCGAGTTCACCATCCGTTTTATACGAGATGCTTCGGTTGCAAATGCAGTTAAGACTTCAGCATGTTATGCAAAGCACTCGTACATCACTTGCCGTACTTCAGTTCTACTCACCTGCCGTGTAGAGTACTTTCGCGCCGTAGAACGATCCTTTTGTTCGCGCGTCTCCGGCCCAGTAGACCTGGTACACCTTGTCGTCTTCAACTACACCGCTAAAGTCCCTTACATCGTCGGAACTCACAACAGGCTGGGTCTGGTCGAGTAGAAATTCTACTAAAACATAAACCACTGTAGAGCCCGGGCAGGATCGACAGGTTGGAGCAAGCGGGCAAACAAAACGAGTCAAGAGCGATCGTTCATGACAGCTCGGCGAAGCCTCTATGGGCGAACCGAAGTCAGCGAAGTGGCGTTTTCGGCGTTCCGGCGGGCTTCTGATCAAGGTTGTCGGTCGGCTGCGTGTCATATCTCTAACATCAGCGGTTTTATGGGCTCACGTCCCGAAATCGTTTTCTTGTGCAGAGACTATTTTTCGTATTCATAGATTTTACGAAATAGTGGTATCCGAACAAATTTTACGTCCTTTGACCGTATGTCTGTCTGCACGTCAAAGCTTTTTGACGCACAGTCAGAGCCAATCGATGTACAATCAGAATCGCCACCAAGACATCTTGATGGCATTTCGCGGCGGCCGACTGCCACCAGGAAACCATCAGAGAGCCGACAAGTGGAGTCTGACTGGAGTTTGACTGTCGGTCAGAGTAACTTGTTGGCCAATCACACATGTTTGACGTACAGTTAGGCAGTCAGCGGTCCACTAGAAAACATTGACTGCCAAGCAGGGTTACATTGATGGATTTTTCCTTCGGGTAGAATGGCGGTAGCTATGTTCCCCTATAAAAATGGCTTCCGCCATTCAATATACATATGACTGACATTCTATTGCCCCTATCGCCATTCGATTGCTCTCGCTTGAAATTTATGGACACGGTATTACCCCTTTATTGAAGTTTGGCACTGACGTGGTAGGCGCTACAATGGCAATCAAATGGCGAAAGAACCCTTTAGCGTCTTTTTATTGGCAGGTGTCAATACAGAATTCGGGTATCGTCTTTTTATACTCATCCTATTGTCAATCGAGCGCCCCCGGTGGCAGTGCAATACCGGCCAAATTCTGCTGCAAGTAAATCAAACTTTAGGTACAAACCATAGTTATAATATACGCTAAAGGTTCAATTGGCTTTTGTGTTCCGCGGCAAATTGAAGAAAACCATACATGGTAAATTTCTTCCAAAATGTAATTTAATTACAATTACAATCATTTCGCTCTAAAAGTAGTTTAACCATAATTACAACTACTACTATGTGAAAAATAATTCATTACAATTACAAATTACATCAAAAAGTAATGTCATTACTTTACAATTACTTATTTCTGGGAGCGACCATTTTCGTCTATATAACTTCAAGCAACATGTTAAGGATGCAACGCATTTCTTCATTCCTTGCCCAAATGTTTGAATCGCCGAATATATGTCACGAATTGTACATTTTTTTTGTAAATTTTCTTAAATTAATGAGAGAAGTTAACAATTTGGGATAATGAAATCCTACATTCTTATATTTTCAATAAATAATAATAAATTAGTTTATATACACGAAGACACCAGATCACTAAAATAAAATTGGTTGACACACTTTTGTTAGCCAGGCAAATAAAAATGTGACAATTAGCCCTATCTGAATGTTTTAATAGTGTTAATATATGACTACAATCTACATCCACACGCGCTAATACAACCATATTTACAGACACACGTTTCATTTTTTCCTAAATTATTTACAGTGAGTTGAAATTACAATGGCTCAAAATTTATAAGACCCGAATATGGGCTCCCGAATCCATCATGACAATATGCACAGGCGCGAAGTCAGCTCAAAAATGCTTATGCAAATAATATCCGAAGTAAAACCAACGAAAAATAAACGTGAAAATAATACAAAAAAATGCGACAGCACTCCAAGAGGGGCGCAAAAAAACTGGCAAACAAATAAATAAAAAAAAAATTACTTCATAGACATAGACCCTTAAAAACCTCAGCCTCGGCCGCCTTTTTTTTTTTTCGGACATTTTGTTTTGTTGGGACATTTGACGATATTTACGACATTTCTTTTTTATGACTAACACTGAAAAAAAGAAAAGAAAAATGCTGTCGACGACAGTGCTAAAAGCGCGAGCTCGTTGCTTTGGATCGCGCGCCACGAGCGCTCCAGCATCGGGTGCAGTCATGCCAGTCAAGGCTACTCGCTCGCTGCTTGCACGGCCTTCGCAGCTATTCTATGCAAGGGTGATAATCCGTCGTACTGCACACAAGTACAGCTCCAGAAAAATGCGTACGAAATTACTGCGGCTGGGCTTTGTCGCCTCCGGTACACGTAATCTTCATTTGCAACAGGAGTGACGGACGGCACCGGGCGAAGTTTGAAAATGGAGAACGCTTATTTTGATGTTCCTAAAAACGTGACGAGTACAGGCGGCAATGTTGACAACACGCACTAGCGCGGACACCGCCGAGCCGCCGAGCCGAGCACCCGGCCACACACACGCCGAGCTACCGACATTTCACAATGCAGTCAGCGGCATCCAAAGAAAACGTGTTGTAGACGTAAAAATAACTCAGATGTCAAAATAAAAGCTGCTATTTTTACGTCCATGGCTACGTTTACATGGATGCGACTGCAGCGCATCGGATCCAGTTAACGAATCGAATCGGTTCATGTAAACAACTCGGATCGGATCGGATCGGATCCAATCCGATCCGCTGGGACGGGGTGGTTTGAGATGGTCAATCCGAATCGAGACTCTCCATGTATACGCTAGCGGATCGAATCGAGTGCTCAAGCGTGGGATTACGGGAGCTTTGCTTCGCCTGCCGCTAGGCAAACCGGACACCTCGAAAACAATCTGAAGGTCACGAGATTTGCGTTGTGATCCTTCGACACGAGGTGCCGCTGCTGGTCGATCCGAATCCATGTAAACTTAGTGGTTGAAGTGGATCCGATTCGCTAACTGGATCCGATGCGCTGCTGTCGCACCCATGTAAACGTAGCCCATGACGCCATTGTCCACGCCCCCTGGATATCCAATCGGTGTCGAAAATACTCAGCCTCCGATTCCAAACCGAAACTAAAATCCCGTCGTAGTTGTGTGGCTAAGCGAAGTTTCGTATCGCGTATAAAACTTTTATTTTAATACATTTGTTTTAGTTCTTTAAGTTTGTTAAAACGTTTTATTGTTTCGGTTCGCCACTGTTTTACGAATAATGTTACGTTAACTTTTTTATTTTCGCATTTATTATGCACCTCGAAACAAAATCTTTTACAAGCCAATCCAATCCACCCTGAACATTTGCGTCGAAGCTTCCGAAGCTTTGTTGCGGTTTGGTGTGTCTTTTATTTTTACGTAGAAGTCATATCGATCCGATATGCCGCGTCCGAGAATGGATTTTGCGACTAATAAGTGGCGAGGCACCACGCGAGCAAGAATGAACAGCCCTGGAGGTTGTGGGCACAGCTCAATTGCCTCATTCCTCGGTGCTTCTCGAAGGTAAGCCTTTTTTCTCTGTGTCCTCCTAAGCTTCCGTTCAAGCATCTCCTTGGTTTGTTTCCTTGCCCTCCCTTTGCCTAATCGCGCCCGAGAAGTGTATTCTGACAGGTATTTTCCTTAGGCGAGCATCTCTCCTCGCGCTTTTCGTCAAACCGTCCGACGGGTTGCGAGTTCTAATCGCGAAGCCATGATTCGGTCACCCAACACGTCGGTCGACCTGTCAAACGTTTTATCGCACGTGGGTCGTCACTTCGCGTCGGCACGCATCGCTGCCTACCCATATCTGTACTGGCCAGGTTTCTTTGTCGGCCCGCGCGTCTTATCGCTGTGGGTGATCTCAAGCGACGCGAGCGAAACGCGTAAAAAAAGAAAACATTGTGGTTGGAGCCGTTTGATTTACTGCGCTATATATATATATAGAGAGAGAGAGAGAGTAAAGCTATACGCACTCCGGAGTGCACTTCGGACGGAAATGGCTATACGCACTCCTCCGAGAGATCATGCCGCTCGGGCCACCCTTTTAGAACGGCGCTTGTATCACTGGGGAGCTCGTTAACACAGCCCCCCGCCTGCGTTCACGCCGCTTCGCGGCGACAGTATCGGCTGCTAATTACAAATCGTAACCAGTACACGCCGCTTCGCGGCGTCCAGCCGGCAATCCAAGCCCCGCTGTCCCCGATCGCACCTCGAAAGGGAGTCCCATACCATTTAGTTTTGCGAGGTTTCTCAACAACATTCGATTTTTTTTTTACTGTTTATCGCAAAAAAAAAAAAAAAATGTCCTAAATATCGCCAAATGCCTCGGCAAAACAAAATGTTTGAGAAAAGAAAAAAGAAAAAAAAGCAGGCCCACTGCGGATGGAACCCGCGTCCACTTGCGTATGAAGCGGACACCTTGACCCCTATGCCATGCCTCCGCTTAGAAAATTCGTTGTGACCACTCGTTTTATGCGAGAAAAGCGGAGTGCGTATAGCCATTTCTGTCCGAAGTGCATTCCGGAGTGCGTATAGCCTTACTCATATATATATATATATATATATATATATATATATATATATATATATATATATATATGTCGAACCGGAACCGAATTGAACCGAAAACCAGAACCGAACCGGTATTTTTTCCGGAACTGAACCCGAACCGTTATATTGTTATCGCGGTGAACCCGAACCGGAACTGAACCGGAAAAAAAATAACGGTTACCAACTCATGTCAAAACGGTTTGGCCACGCGCTGTTGACAATGAATGTGCTATTAATGCCATTTGTTTTTTAAGTGCCGTCAACTGACACACACCTCGCTTACATATTTTTCTTCTCCACTCAGTCTTAGGAATATAAATGCTGAATCCATGAATCTTGACAAGCGCTGCATCCATGAATCTTGACATAGGAACCAGTATTGCGCTGGTCGCGGCTTGCACGGAAGAAAGAGAATTGGAAGGCTGTGCAAAAAAAGGCGCGTCACGGGATTTCATTTTCCTACAATCTCGTAAATCCTAAATGCTGCTGTGTGCTCACTTCATAACACGTTTCTAGAACGCGCGAGTTCTTGAAGCTTGCTTCCATTGGAATGAAAAAAGAAAAGGCTGTGGAGTTTAATAATAATGCATCCGGTTTCGTATAGGCACTTAGAGGCTAACATATTTGTGAGACAGCGAACTATTCTATTTTAATATTTATCCTATTACGTCCTTCTGGCGTGGCGTTCGGTGAAGTGTTTTTCATATTCCGTATCTTGTTTAATGAAAACTTCTTTAAGGGTCTAATTTGAGTTACCGAAGGCTAGTTCAAATAAAGAAAGCTGTATTTCCTCCCCACTGTTCCTTCACTTGCTTACACGCCGAGGTGGCGGGATAGTTAGCAAGTTCTACTTGTAAGTGAGTTTGTAAGGAGGTCGCGGATTTTACAGCTACTGCGTCGGACCCAATTAGATGAAGTCCGAATGCGTAAACGTCGGTGAGGTAACCTTTGAGTGCACATAAAGAAACCATTCCTGGTAGAAATCCCTGAGCCTTACACTACGATGTATCCCGTTTAGTATGTGCTGATTTCAGATGTTTTATTTGTAATTTATTTTGATGTTGCAATTTGTCATTTATAACTTCCGAACCGGTTCGCGAACCGGTTCGCGAACCGAATTAATCGAACCGGAACTGAACCGGAACAAAATTAATTTACCTGAACCTGAACCGTAACCGAACCCGTATTTTTTTCTGTTCGACACACTGATATATATATATATATTTATTTATTTATTTGGACACACAATATAGACGGGCACTAATTAACTTCACTAACATGCTCACATACTCTCCACTTGTCATGATTTTTGTGTGGGCTTTGCCCGATGATTCTAGTGAGTCATTCTCGTTTCAAGTGGAGTCTCCAAACCATTTTGCACGCATGTTCGGACTCTCGGGATTTGCAGAAACTGGGAGTCTGCAACGCCTGCTGTCCTTGTCTTTTTTTTTCTCCAGTTCATCTTTTTTTCTTGTGCAACAGCAGACTGTGGCACAAGAGCGACATCTTTTTCATGCGTGGTGTCACCTGAACCGTAGAATGCTTGCTTCATAGTGTGGCCCGTGAGGCTGTACGCTTTCCGCTGTCTGCTTTCACGAACACAAATACGGTGATGTACCCAGAGTGCACCGCTCGCTAGCCTTGCGTGAGTACACTCTATATGGTATATGTTGTTCAAAGTACCTTTATGCATAGCTGATCCAACCTGCATTCTCTTTTGCCATTGCCGGTAGCAAATTGTGTCTGTTTAGTATTGCACACCTGCCAACTTCCCCGTATTACCCAGAAGTCTCTTAAATTTTGATCAGTTTGTATGATCGACAGAACAACCTTCCGAAAAGAGAAATTACCCTCCCCCTCTCTTTTGTACTAAAGAAGAGTTTTTGCCATCACTGTGGACGGCTGCAATCCCATGAGCATAGGCAGTGCAATATATAAATATAATGAAGTTGTCTTCATGCAAATTTGTTCTCAATATTTCTTTTTAAAACACCCCCCCCCCCTCCCCTGCTTAGAAATTATCCCGAATTTGGTGTCCCCAAACTTGGAAGGTATGGTACTGTCTGTGCCTTTTCTATCTTGTGTCATTTATGTAACGTAATATATCTGTTCTTCATATTTATAATTGCTGCAGGCCTGGTCAAGGAGGAGTTGCTCAGTGAACTACTAGTTTGAGTTCCCTGAGACGGACACCACTCACATCACCTACAGTGCCGAGGTACAGGCTTAAAGGGATACTGAACCGAAAATTCGAGTTCACAAAACAAGGCTGGGCGGATAGGCGGGAAGCTGCAAAACCAAGAAATATCATTCATACGGCGATATATCTAACGGATCGCCGTATTTTTTGGAAAAGAAGTTCGCGATTGAAGCCGGCCGACGAGGCCGACGCGACAAGGCACGTCACGATTCCCATTCTCTCTCCTCCTCTCTACGTCCCGTCAAGCTGGTGAACCGAAGCGAGGAGGAGAGAAGCGAGGCCGCTTCTCCTCATTCTCACATTCTCCCGGAGGACAGTTACGTCAAAGAACTCGCTTGATCGCGCCCTTCTTTTCCAAAAGTACGGCCATCCGTTTGAGATATCGATGTACGAGTGATGGTTTAGAGTTCATAGCGTCCCGTTCAACACTTCTGCAGCCTTACTTTGCGAAATCCAAATTTCGGTTCAGTATCCCTTTAATGGCAGATATCAATAGGAGATGATGGTAAGCTGTCCTATTTATTTAGCAGTGTCGGAGTAACTCACTTGAGTTTTCATCACTGTTTTCGCTGGCAGTTTGTTGCCTGCACACAAAAATGGTCTATTAATTGTCCATGTCCATTAAAATTGATGCAGCCTTCACACTTCTGCGGTTTAGAGCGATTCGCAGACATATGTCGATCATAGTCGAAACAGCGTGGCTCATCATTAGAGTTGAATGCTGAGTTTCGCTTGGCAACTTTTTGGCCACTTCGATCACTACAAAACATTATTTGCCTTCTCAGGTACGCGTCACGTCTGTTTGGTTGGACAGCCACCAAGTTGACTTGGATGTCAGCGCCTGTTGTCATCAGAACCTGGTTCTTGTGTTGCCACATCATTTTTGGTGGTGGCGCTGTCGTCACCTCCCAACGCTTGCGCTCCCCGAGTTCCCATTCAAGATGGTGAGTGGTATACTTGTAGGGGCCTCGCTGCTGCAGGTGCTGCCATGTAGCTCTGGCTCGTGGTGGCTCCACCGCCATCATTTGTGCTCCCTGTGATCCCAGCCGGAGTGGTGACAGGGATTATGCAAGGGCTCTTTGTCGCAGGTGCTGCCACGGACTTTGGCTCGTGGGGGTGCCGTCGCTACTGACAAAGCCTGTGCTCCCCGTCGTCCCTGTTGAAATGGTGGCTGGAACTTGGAGAGGGTTTGCTGCCACAGCCGGTCAGTTCAAGTTCCGCACATTCTGCCGTAGCCCTTGGGAATTTGTTCCTTCCATGTTGAGGTTCTAGTAGGAGAAGTCCACCGCTGTTGAGCTACATGTCACCACAGCAGTCAATCTGCAGAGGGGCATGGCCACGTGACCACACTTCTGAAATGTTAGAGCCTTGTTGTGGACATGGAGGCCGGTGTGAGAGATTTAATATGCGTCTAGCATATCTTCCTGGCGAAAGAACTCATGGGTGTGCCACATGGAAAGTGAGCAGACTGTGCAAGTCTCTTTTACAAAATGGCGCTAACAATAGGTAGTGTCTGAATCATTCTTGTCTTACGTAGGTGATACTTTCTAGGCGTAATGTGTTAGTAGATAGCTATGGAGTTATTCCTTAACTCTGAACAAGATACAAAGTATGAGACATTTTCAGGCCAAGTAAAAAATTTCTGCTCACTTTAATCTTGAAGATCTTCCAGAGTTTCACATCATCCAGCAATCCTGAAGGCGATGCACCACATGTAATTATAATTAATATTCCCGCTCTTAGTTTACCAGGAAGGTGTTCAAAAAATTGTAAGTAGTGTTAGTTGCTTAGGATAGCGATGTGTTGCACCTTGGCGTTCCATTCACTTTGGGATGAGGTGCTTCATTCTTGTGCGTCCTTGGTTGTTTCCTTAGCCCCTAAAGATGTTGGAGATTTATATGTTTTATTTTTGGGGAAACCATGTTATGTTAGTATCTGGCATGCTTTTTTTTTATTGCTGAAAGCTGTTTGAAGTGAGCCTTTTGTCCACCTAGGAGCATAATGATTGGGAGCTTCACTCAGGTGTGTTTTCTGGCCACACAGTCAAGTGTTCCTATTTTTATTTCCATTGATTCTTTGGCATTCTAGATATCTTTTTGTAAGCGTGTTCACATAAGCTTGTTCAACTTTCTGGGTCATAGTATCGGGTCGTTCTGTAATTATCATATGCTTTATGCATTTGTCATTAGTCTCATCTGAAGTTGTCATGGGCACATGGCTGACACATTTGGTGCTGCTTTGATTTGGAGGGTAAATATTGTCCGCCATAGGTCTAGCAAACTTCATATATTCTACACTTCAAAATTTTCTTGTAGACCTGATTACTAGGCAATAAGCTCCTTTTCAGTATGTGCATTTACTTAAATTGAAAATCCAAAAGGCTTTTAATAATCAGCCACATGCAGAATAAGAACAGTGTTTCTGCCACCTAGTGTGGGAGAAAATGGGTGGGGGGGTGGAGGCCAAAGCAAACGCAAGCAGTGTGAATACAACTCTAGGACTTATATGCGGGGTAAGTGAGGAATTTGAACTGTCTACCAAGACCATGTAGCTCACACATTTAGCAGAGGATAATTGGGTTCGATTTAACAAGCTATTGGGGTGGTTGTAAAGCTCCTATACAGCCCCACGTGGAGTCACCTTGCATGCACTGATCTAGACTGCTCGTTTCACATAGATTTTTGTGACCTATTGATCTAACTGCTTCTTTTATTTGCAAATTTTTGTGTTATTCAGGATAATTGGGAACCCAGCAAAAGGTTGGCATGTCATGGAGTAAACATGCCATCGTACAGTGTGCTTCACTCTAAAATGTAATGCATGAGCAGTGGCCAAGGCTGATGACACTTGTCTAATGAGGAAATCAATGATACTGCACAAACTGAAGCATATCTTCCTGGGACCGTTGCCATTCCCCTATACAATTATTGCATGACCTCCTTGTTTTTTTTTTATTGCCCTCAGTTAATTAGACGAGGACTGGATTGCTGTTATCCTTAATAGGTCGGCATGTCACGTTTAACTTGAGGTCCAATTAACGGGAAATTTGTTTTGATAAGTTAAATAAGGGGAACAACAAAATATTCAGAGCAATGTCTTTTTTTTTCTTTCTATTTTTTTGCATCACCGAAACATTTATTGGTCACCGCATTGAAACTGGGAGTGTAACGCACGAAGAGAACTGCAGTGTGACCCTCCAGTCTCTGCCGTTAGACGATGCACACATTCTGCAAAATAAGTGCAGGATCAGCTTTTTTTGGGGGGAGGGGGGGGGGATTTTTCTGAGATGACATGAAAATGTTGTGGTCATCACCATCAAAGTGATTTGTTGTCTGCATGTTCCCTGTTTTAGTGACAAGGCCACTGACAAGCCGCTTCATGGGTACTAAATTGAACCGCTTGACAAGTTGCTCAAACAATAGTGATACACAAATGGCAGTACGAGGACAAGTTGAAGAACCACAAGTAGCGCTTGTCCTATCTCTTCTTCAACTTGCCGTTGTCCATCGCACTATTTGTGTTTTGCTCCTCTTCATCTGCTTCATAAAGAGCAAATATATAAGGCTGCTTAATAAAATGACTGCGTCCGTCAAATCGGTAAACATTTCTCTGTAAAACATATTGCCCTGGCCAAGTCCAAGTCTCGTTTTCACGATGAGTCGCATAGTAAATCGGCTAACAATGGTTGATGAATATGATGTAGTTCTACTGAATCAGTAGCATACTTCAATCTCTCTTTTGCACAAAACATATATGTTTCGGAGCGGTTGACATAGTGTTTTCTCGACATCCGAGGGGCTTGAAGCAGGTGCTTAATGTCTGTGAGCCTCCACCATTGAAATTTTAACTTGTCACTTGCTCTAGAACTTGATAATGGAGCAATGGCAGATTTTATGAAGTTTGCGAAACCGACGTCGGAGACCTTCGAATGGGAAAGGTTTACAGGGCTAGAAAAATAATGACAGCACGTCCTCACTCACAATTATCTGTAATAAAAAGACGGTGCCCAAAGAACTGTAGCTAGTTTTAAGTGTCACTCGCTGAAGCGGTTTGTATATTGTGTTAATTCCTGCATTTTGCTGTTTTTTTCTGTTTCAGGATCCAGTGTTACATTCCTGTGGCTTTTTGGTTGTTTCCCAATTATTGAAGGGAGTTGCAGGCTTATCATGGGCGACACAGTGCTTTGGTGAGTGTACCTTTTATTTACTGCTTGGCCAATCAAATCGAGTGGCTTTGCAGGAAACTCTCTACAGTTTCAGGATGTTTGAGGGTGTGTTCTCCTTCAGACATTCTGAAATGGCACAAATTTTTCTGTGCTGCATCACTATACTCTGTTGAATGACCAGCTGAAATCGTGGTAGAAGCTACATGCTCGTTGGACCAGTCATATGTCTACCTTTCGCCATGTGTTACACTCCCGTCCATAACCATGTGCAGAAGGCGGGGTCAGGTAACGAGAGGGAGGTGGTTGATTGATCCGGTGGGTGTGTAGTTACCACCACAGTCAGCTTAGAGGTGAATGTTAATTACTCAAGCTTTAAATAGGTCACAGTACTCAAAGCTTGAGGAACACCTGAGAAGTTTTTAGAATGTTTTTATTTACCGTGTCTACTCGCTCCATGAGTCTCAAACTACGTCCAACTCGGCTAGCCATCAAGCCAATTTTCTTTCGCCGCCAAGCGGCCAGGCCACTTCAAACCAGGCAAAGCATAACGGTACACGCTTTCATGGCTGCAAGTGGGTAGTTGCGGATGTGATCAAGAGTGAAACCGAGCGGCGCATACACGTAACAAAGCTGGGGTCGAGGAATTGCCCAGCTTTGGACATGTTTCGCCCACCGAATGCATTGATGTCAACAAACACGCGGTCATCTGTAGTGTGCTTTCGGACAGTGAAATCGTGAAAGTGGTTAGGCCTAAGGACGGTCGCGTCACTCACCATGCTGAGTGAGCTTCCCTAGTAAAAAAATCTTAAATGTATAAAAAAATTTTATGTCCAACAAACATGTATGATCCAATAAGATCATATAAGAAAATACAAGAACCTTATAAAAACATATAAGAACAATATAAAATTATATTTGAAGTTATAAGAAACTTCTTTTCAGTTTCTTAAAACTTATATAATCTTATATATTTCCTATATTGTTCTTATACGTTTTTATAAGGTTTTTATATGATCTTATTTGGTCATATGCTTTTATTGGACACCTAAATTTCTTACATGCAAGATTTTTTTACTATTCACTAGGAGGGCGCTTTTCCTTTGACAGAAGGCACACCGAAAGCACCCTAAAAAAAGGTTTTCAAATTATAGAACATGGTTATTGTAGCGCGCCCACGACCAGCCGTCAATGCGCCTCCGTCAGTGGAGACATGCCACAGTACTTTGCCGTGTCATACTGCCACCTAAAATTACTTTTTTGCGAAGTGTGTAAATGCAGAAATTTACCCTGCATAATGAACGCACCCCCGAAATATATGTCAATTTCAGAATAAAGAGGTGTGTTCATTATGCAGGTAAATATGGTAAAAAAGTGAATGATGACTCAAACAAAATGCAAAACTCATACATTGGAATTTGAAAAAAAATCACCAACCATATCCTGCAACAAGGTCCCAACGTTTCAAAAACAGCTTGTTTTTTTCTTCAGGGGTGACTGCTTCCAGATAGGGGACAACAGCTTCGTTTTCTTCTACGATAGTCTCTTTTTTTTTCACTTCGTTAGGTGGCTGAGTCCGTTCACGTAGCATGATGGCAATGTGCCAGTGGACCTATTGATGTTTCCTGGTGTTGTTTGGATATGCCATGACTATAAAAAGCTGCTGGCAGAAGTTAGTCTCAACATTAATGAGGGTGTTGGCAAAGTTGATGCGATATTCATTGTCCTCACAGTGCTCTGCAACAGCGCTGCGCTCGTGGTCGAATTTGCAGTTGTTTTTGTGTTGTTGAATTCTTCCTGGGAAGTTCTTTGTTTTTCCAATGTAAGTGGCATGGAATTGAATATACAATGCCCTGCACTCTTTGTTTAGAGGCATGACCTTTAAATCACAGCATCATACGTCAAAGTGTTGATACCGGTTTGTGGGACACCTGAATACTTTCTTTTACCAGCATACATGACAGCGCTTCGCTAGTCCCCATTATGTAGGGAACACAGATGCGGGTGTGTGGACGGATGTTTTTGAGTTTTTAAGCTTTCTCCCGACCAGGCAGGCCTCTGCCAAAATGTTTGCCCTCAAAACTTGCACTGCATGTAGTAATGGCTCTTGGTCTGCTAGAATTTTTGTTTTAGTTTTGTGTTTGTTGAGCATTATTGGGCAAATGACAAAGGCTATGCCACCTCATTATGACCACAGTAAAAAGAGCTATACACTTGATAACATAGTCCTGTCATGTTTTTGCTTTGAAAAAAATGTTAACACACAATATTAATCTATTTCTTGACCCTTTGACTGGGGACCCATGACTAAAAAAAATTTTTTTGTCCCTATTTTGCCTATATTTTTTTGTACGAAACTTTTCTTGTGCTACCATCATAGCTTTAATTTCTAAAGGAAAATTATTTCCGATGTTAGGGGATAGATGGTGGTTCCTCCCATACGATAAAAAGAGTGAGCGTTTAAAGACGCACTCCCCAAACTGATTGAAGAGTGGTGCATCTATGAGTGCGCCCCCCAGGCTGCTGTTAAAATTGCCAAGCATCCAAAGATCTTATCAAAAGTAATAGATAAATTTTTGTCTAAGGTGAAGTAAATATTTACATTAAATTCAAGTAATGACGCAATAACAACATGGCAGTGCCCACAAGCTGCATGCGCATGAACGAATTTCACCATCCAAATGGATGAATGACCGTTTTGGCAGAACTGGGGAATGAGAAAAAGGGTACCAATACTTGAGTGTAGCTTTCTAGGGGCTATTATCATTTTAAATTGCAATTCTCATTTGCTCTTTCAGCTCGCACCTTCACGGAGTACAGCAATGTGGGGAAGCAAGTCGAGGACAGCCTGTCTCGATTTCTGTCCCGGGGGCACTATGCTCTTTCAGGTAAGCTGCTTCCCTCTCTTAAGAGACACGAGTAGACCCTTTTATTCAAGACAAGAATGACGATAAATATCACATCAAATAAAATGGGGAACAAGAGGACAAAGGAGATTCCTCTTTGACCTTTCTCCCCTTTGTAGCCCTTTTCCAGGGATTATTATTGTATTCATACTTATTACATTATTGTGGAGTTGACATTTTGACAACCTGTGGTTGGCTGATGTGTTGCGGAAGCTAAAGCTATTGCACATTCAAACATTGTGTGAAATACAGTAGAACCCTGCTGCTGCATCTTTATGCAGTCACAATGAAGGATCATGACATGAGCGAAGATGTAACAACTGATAATGCCCTTGGGATCGCTATAGATGTTTCAGGAAGCTGTATTCCCTGTTTATCTCACCTTAGCTTTTATGGCTGTAAAAAAGATTGCCTTATTTTATATGTTGACAATTTTTTCAACACTTCTTAAAATTGTGGTTGAACTATAAGTAACACACTGTTTACAGACAAGCTTGTGTTTGCCCACAGCAGCTATGGGCACTGCATACGCAGGAACTAGATTCGTGTGAGCAGACATGTGTGTAGATGTGCTGTGCCGACAGCCGCGCCATCGCAGTGATGCGTTGTCTATAGTTGCAGTTAAAAAAATATTGAAATATAAGGATGCAAAAATTCTGAGCCCCTCGAGCTAAACCACAGCTGCCTCAAACAAATCACTGCACCCTGCATGCCACATCAAAGCAGTGGGGCTTGATGCAATCAGCACTGCTTGAACATGGTGACATGGAGGTGGTAAAGAAAAATGGGGTGTCGTGAGAGCCTGAATCTCTTATTGTCATACAGGACCAAGCAAGAAACACAGTGCAGAGAGGCAAGGAGGTAAAATAAAGGGAGTAAAGCAAAAGGAACAGGGTATGTGTTCCTAGTAGTCATGCCGGCCACCTTGAGTGGCAGTGTTTGGGCATAAGAACCAAGAAGGAAATTCATGAAGCCTGTAATTCTAACACATATATACTTTTGGACGTTCGATAGGACCGGTTTCCGTGAACATAACAGCCGAGAAAACATGTGAGCAAGGTTCTTCTGTGCATATTTTTGAATGTGCTGCAAGAATATTTCTGGTTATATGCCCACTTAATTTATAATCTTTTTCTTCTTTCAGCTGACACCTTACAGACATGTCAGGAAGCAAGGAAAGGTTATTTTTTCACTCATTGTTTACATTTGGGTGATTAACTTAGTCTTGAAAAAAAAAACACGTCATTTTAATGACATTGTGATAAATAAATTTTGGATCTTTAAATCGTCCTTCAATCTTTGTTTTCTTCCCATATTCCAAGCCGGCACTATGTGTATCAGGCATGGAATCAATGGTAGGCCATGTAAACTATTGCAGTTTTTCGGCTGGCCAGCTTAAAGTTTACGAGGGGTTGACAATGGCGAAATGGTCACGAAATTCGATCAAATGACGTCTATGTGATAATTATGCCCTTATAAAAATGGTTGATGCCATTTTGTATTATTGTCAAATAGCAACAGGTGTTTAAGAGCAGTCAATCAGCAGGCAACAGATGTTAATCGTCATTAGATGTAATCTTGTTGACCCGGATAGCCATTTCGCCACCGTCAACTTTTTGCCGTTCTATTGGTTATTGTCGGTGCATTGCCAGTGTATCTACATGCTAATGCTAATTGGCTATTGGAGGCAGTCAAAAGACTATAAAATGTATAGTCCTTTGATTGCCTCCTTTAGCCATTTAACGTTAACATGTAGATACACTGATGATACACCGACAATAACCAATAGAACGGCAAAAAGTTGACGGTGGCGAAATGGCTATCCGGGTCAGCAGGGTGACGTCTCAATGACGATTAACATCTGTTGCCTGCTGATTGACTATTTGTAAACAGCTGTTGCCATTTGGCAATAATATGACTTTCAAATGGCATTAACCATTTTCATTTGGGTTCATAGGGGCATCCGGGTCAACAGGTTGATGTCTCAATAATGATTAACATCTATCTAGCCTCCTGTTTGACTACTTGTAGATACCTACTGCCATTTGCCAATTGTATGCCTCACAAAAGGCATTACCATTTTATAGGAGGTTGCAATATTGGACTGCCTTTAATTGTGATGACTGACAATAGAATGACTATAAAATGATATAGATATTGTATAAACACTTGTCTTTAAAAACGCTAAATGTCGTTTGATTGTCATTTTAATGCCTCCTGTGCCAGTGCCAAACATTAGAGGCAATAAAGTGACACTATAAAAATTTGAACGACTATAAAGGCATCAGAGGAAAAAACGGCGGTCACATGTCCATAGAATGGCAGTAGCTATGTTCATAGGGTATCTGGGTCAACAGGATGATGTCTCAATAATGATTAACATCTAGCCTCCTGTTTACTACTTGTAGACACCTACTGCCATTTGCCAATAATATGCCTTTCAAAAGGCATTACCATTTTATAGGAGGTCGCAATATTGCACTGCCTTTGAGGGCACCAGACTGACAATAGAATGACTATAAACTGATATATTCTATAAACACTTGTCATAAAAACTCAAAATGCCGTTTGATTCTTTTTAATGCCTCCTGTGCCAGTGCCAAACATTAGAGGCAATAAAGTGACACTAAAAATTAAACGACAGCTATAAAATAACACAGCAAAAACGGCAGTCACATGTCCATAGAATGGCAGAAGCTATGTTCCTAGGTGTATCCGGGTCAACACGATGATGTCTCAATAATATTAACACCTAGCCTCCTGTTTGACTACTTGTAGACACCTACTGCCATTTGCCAATAATATGCCTTTCAAAAGGCATTACCATTTTATAGGGGGTGGCAATATTGCACTGCCTTTGAGGGCGCCAGACTGACAACAGAATGACTATAAAATGATATACAGATATTCTATAAACACTTGTCACTAAAAACGCTAAATGCCGTTTGTCATTTTAACGCCTCCTGTGCCAGTGCCAAACATTAGAGGCAATAAAGTGAGACTATAAAAATTTGAACGACTATAAAGACATCACAGGAAAAAACGGCAGTCACATGTCCATAGAATGGCAGTAGCTATTATGTACATAGGGGTATCTGGGTCAACAGGATGATGTCTCAATAATCATTAACATCTAGCCTCCTGTTTGAATACTTGTAGACACCTACTGCCATTTGCCAATAATATGCCTTTCAAAAGGCGTTACCATTTTATAGGAGGTGATAATATTGCAATGCCTTTGAGGGCACCAGACTGACAATAGAATGACTATAAAATGATGTACAGATATTCTAAACACTTGTCAATAAAAACGCTAAATGCCATTTGATTGTCATTTTCATGCCTCCTGTGCCAGTGCCAAACATTAGAGGCAATAAAGTGACACTATACAATTTGGAACGACTATAAAGACATCACAGGAAAAAACGGCGGTCACATGTACATAGAATGGCAGTAGCTATGTTCATAGGGGTATCTGGGTCAACAGGATGATGTCTCAATAATGATTAACATCAAGCCTCCTGTTTGAGTACTTGTAGACACCTACCGCCATTTGCCAATAATATGCCTTTCAAAAGGCATTAACATTTTATAGGAGGTGGCAATATTGCACTGCCTTTGAGGGCACCAGACTGACAAAAAATGACTATAAATTGATATAGATATTCTATACACACTTGTCAATAAAAACACTAACATGTTCTTTTGCCATTTGTCTAGCCAATAAAAAAATATTTTTGCTGTTCGATTGTCATTTCAACACCTGCTGTGCCTGTGCCAAACAGAGGCAATAAAGTGACACTATAAAATTTGAACGACAGCTATAAAGACATCACAGCAAAAAACGGCGGTCACATGTCCATAGGATGGCGGTAGCTATGTTCATAGGGGTATCCGGATCAACAGGATGATGTCTCAATATTATTAACATATAGCCTCCTGTTTGACTACTTGTAGATACCTACTGCCATTTGCCAATAGTATGCCTTACAAAAGGCATAACCATTTTATAGGAGGTGGCAATATTGCACTGCCTTTGATTGTGCCAGACTGACAATAGAATGACAATAAAATGATATACAGATATTCTATAAACACTTCTCTTTAAAAACGCCATATGCCATTTGATTGTCATTTTAATGCATCCTGTGCCAGTGCCAAACATTAGAGGCAATAAAGTGACACTATGAAAATTTGAACGACTATAAAGACATCACAGGAAAAAACGGCAGTCACATGTCCATAGAATGTCAGTAGCTAAGTTCATAGGGGTATCTGGGTCAACAGGATGATGTCTCAATAATGATTAACATCTAGCCTCCTGTTTACTAGTAGACACCTACTGCCATTTGCCAATAATATGCCTTTCAAAAGGCATTACATTTTATAGGAGGTGGCAATATTGCACTGCCTTTGATTGTGCCAGACTGACAATAGAATGACAATAAAATGATATACAGATATTCTATAAACACTTGTCTTTAAAAACGCTAGATGCCGTTTGTCATTTTAACGCATCCTGTGCCAGTGCCAAACATTAGAGGCAATAAAGTGGCACTATAAAATTTTGAACGACTATAAAGACATCACAGGAAAAAACGGCAGACACAGGTCCATAGAATGGCAGTAGCTATGTTTATAGGGGTATCCGGGTCAACCGGATGATGTCTCAATGATAATTAGCATCTAGCCTGCTGTTTGACTACTTGTAGACACCTACTACCATTTGCCAATAATATGCATTTCAAAAGGCATTACCATTTTATAAAAGGTGGCCAAAATTGCATTGCCTTCGAGGGTACCACACTGAGAATAGAATGACTATAAAATAATATACAGATAATCTTAAACACTTGTCAAAAAAGGCTAAAATGTTCTTTTGCCATCTGTCTTGTCAATAAAGAACTTCAAACATTTTTTTTGCCATTTGATTGTCATTCTAACGCCTGCTGTGGCAGTGCCAAACATTTGAGGCAATAAAGTGACACTATAAAAATTCAACGACAACTATAAAATGACAACACACCAAAAAACGTTGGTCAGATGTCCATAGAATGGCGGTAGCTATGTTTTAGGGGTATCCAAGTCAACAGGATGATGTCTCAATGATGAACATCTAGCCTGCAGTTTGACTACTTGTAGACACCTACTGCCATTTGACAATAATATGCCTTTCAAAAGGCATTACCATCTTATAGGGGGTGGCAATATTGCACTGCCTTCGAGGGCGCCAGACTGACAATAAAATGACTATAAAATCATATATATTCTATAAACACTTGTCAATAAAAACACTAAAATGTTTTTTGTCATTTTGTATTTAATTAAAAAGCAATCATTTTTGCCGTTTGGTTGTCATTTTAACGCCTGCTGTGCCAGTGCCAAACATTTGAGGCAATAAAGTGACACTATAAAAATCAAACGACACTATGAAATGACCACACCAAAAAACGTCGGTCAGATGTCCATAGGATGGCGGTAGCTATGCTCATAGGGGTATCCGGTCAACAGGATGTCTCAATAATGATGAGCATCTAGCGTGCAGTTTGACTACTTGTAGACACCTACTGCCATTTGCCAATAATATGCTTTTCAAGGGGCATTACTATACGATAGGTGTGGCAATATTGCACTGCCTTCAAGGGCGCCAGACTGACAATAAAATGACTATAAAATGATATACAGATATTCTAAACACTTGTCAATAAAAATGCTAAAATGTTCTTTTGCCATTTGTCTTCAATAAAAAAAAGTGAAAGCCGTTTACAACTCCCTGTAACGCCGAATTTGAGCGCAGCTCTTGAGGAGCAGGAGGAAAGGGTACTGGGGGGGTGGGTCACGTGACCTTGGGGGTTACGTGATGATGCCGATGACGTCATCAGTGACGATAATGATGCGGATACCGATGATGTCATCAGTGATGATGATGATGCCGGTGACGTCATAAGTGACGTCACTGATGACGTCATCAGCGATGACGACGACGGCGATGCGAATGCCGGTGACGACGTCATCAGTGATGATGACGATGCGGATGACGGTGACGTCATCAGTGACGATGGCGTCATTGGTATCTGCATCGTTGACGGCGAACCTCGGAAGGATGGGGGTCACGTGACCTCGGGGAGGAGTTCACGTGACCCTGAGGGGGGTCACGTGACCT